GAATATACATTTAATAGATATAATACGGTGCGACGAGAAACAAATACATAAAAACTGAGAATAAATTAACAATAAAACGTTTGTCGACAAACGTGCATAATACATAATGTTCAAGATATTTTATAAAAATCGTAATTCTTCTTTGAAGACTATAGAAAAACACAAATAACGGCTTCATTTTGTTTATAAATTATATATATATATTCCCTTTTAGTTGGCCATTGTTTATCAAGTTAGCACGAGCATTAATACCTAGGAATTGATGACATCATAACAGATAAAACATACCGCTAACGAATGAGATCTATAGTTTGTCTCAAGATAATATGTTTGCGAATCTTGCTTTTTTACAAAGGTAATCGTAATCTGACAACGAAATAAAAGCTCTATTTGCAAATAGTCTACAAAAAGTTATTTTCCAGGAAAAGGAAATGAATGTTAGTAATGCACGAAAATCACAACAACTGATGTTTTGAAATTACTAGTGAATGAACAAATTTCCAGAGAGAAAATTAAGAGGGTGGGTTTGTTTGTTTGTTTATTATGGATTTTGCGCAAAGCTACACGAGGGCTATCCGCGTTAGCCGTCCCTAATTTAGCAGTGTAAGACGAAAGGGAAGGCAGCTAGTCATCACCACCCACCGCCAACTCTTGGGCTACTATTTTACCAACGAATAGCGGGATTGACCGTCACATTATAACGCCCCCACGGCTGAAAGAGCGAGCATGTCTGGTGGGACGGGGATTCGAACACGCGACCCACAAATTGCGAGTCGAGCGCCCTAACCACCTGGTCATGCCGGGCCTAAAGGGGGGGGGGGCGAGAGAAGAAATTCCAAAGGTGCTAGTAGTTTCAAACTGAAATATATTGCTAACCCACCCGAGAAGATATTGTGCATTACAAAGTGTCAGTGGAGGTACACTTGTATTGAACTCTAAGTGTCCGTATTTAAAGTGTTTCTTGCTCCACTGAAATTTCAGACATTTATAAGAATTAATATGATTTAAAAGTGAGCTGCACACCAAAATTTGTTTGCAATGTTTAACAGTTCTTTGATTTAAATAGGAGGGTGTGTTTTCTTACGTCAAAGCCACATCGGGCTATCTGCTGTGTCCACCGAGAGGAATCGTTCCCCTGATTTTAGCGTTGTAAATCCGTAAAGTTACCGCCCTCTCTCACCGGGGGGACTTCAAATACGATAACGCTTTATGTTGCAACTGCTACACGAAGCATTATTTCTTCGTCTGTTTTTCACGGTTCATGAATTTTACCTTCATATCTTTCCAACCAGTTTAATGACAACAGTACAGCAGATGCTCGGGTAAAGTACAAAAGGAATCGCCAAACAGCTGTACTTAAGTGTATATATGTTGCCCTGCCCTACTCCGTTCTAGTCATGTAATTACATTTTATTTACGTAAGTCAGTTATACCTCCCTCCGTTCCAACCTTTGCTCTCCAAACCCACATCCATGCAATTTTTTGGAACATGGACAATTTAGGTTAGAGACACAAAAAATAAAAATTGTAAGACACAGATTGAGAAAGAAAATGGTGACACAAAACCAGAAATGATGACTAAATCTCCCCTCTGGTGGCTCAACGGTAAGTCTCGCACCTTTTAACGTTAAAATTCGGGTTTTGATATCCGCGTTTGGCAGGGCACAGACAACTCACTGTGTAGCTTTGTGCTTAATAACAAATAGCCTAAATTCACAAGTTTTAAGTTTTCTCCGTATGAAGTAAGTGTGATAAACTTTATCCAGTAAAGATCTGTTACTGATGAACACACATTTGTTCTTATTGTCCTCAACGGGGTTTATGTTGAGGTGTGATGATTGGTTGCCCGCATCTTCAGCATCATTTGAATACGTTTGTTTGTTGTGTTATGATTCCTTTGCTTTCTGAATCCGCCTTAAACTGCACATAAAACAGACAAATAAATAAAAAAAAACATTTCGTTACGAATTACAATAACTTTAATCACTTGTGAAGTCAAACATGCAACAATTAAAACACTTCCAGAGTTGTCGGAGAGGAAAATACTGGATTTATAAAAGTATTTATTAAATGAACACATACTACACGAGCTTTCACATGCAGGATGAACAAACTTTATCAGTAAGTAACTTGTGCTTGATGAACGAATGGCTGTGCGAATAGGTCAATATCCGTTCGCTACAAGCAGTATCTATCGCATGTTACGTATTTCCACGCAGTTACAACATGGCAACCGCAAGTGGGGTTGCTTTACAAGAACGTGATGCACTTACAACGACTCCCATTAAAAAGTTCGGACAGCGTACATTTCTTGCTCATCTCGTCCTGAGCTAGCACGCTGTTAAATCGATTTGTTTGTTCTTTGGTTCTCTCAGAACAACAATTTCATATAGCAGCTGCAGACAAATGAATTTATAAATCACACCTTCATTTTATCACACTGGTACGATTATCTTTTGTTGTCCTTCCTACATTGTTTGTTTGTAGTTAATCGCAAAGCTACACAGAGGGCTATTTGTACTCTGCCTACCACGGTTATCGAAACCCGGTTTCTAGCGTTATAAGTCCGAAGACATACTGCTGTGCCACTCGGGGCCCTTCTCACATCAAGTGGTATCATTGAAAAATAACGATGTGTAAAAGTGTAGTAAAATTGACTTGTTTCATCTATCATTTCTTCCGTTTTTTTTTACTTATTATTATTTTAGACAGTGGAATTCTAAACTTGAACTACAAATATACGATAAAACTAACGAATACATGACTCTTGGCAACTTACGTGTGTATAAGTGTACGAGGTTGTTTAGAAACATTAAAACGAGAATTTTTTCTTCCATGGAAAAGACTTACAAGCACCATATAGTGTGTTATATTACAAAGTTAACAAAATAAAGAGAGGCGTTCCTTGAAAATGCTAATCGTTTTTGTTAAGAAAGGTACAAGTATTATTACATCAACACGGAAGTTAAGAAATACATTTTGAGAACGTTAATTCCTTGCATTGAAGTTGAATTAACGTTTTCGCCAAATAGTTTTGTTTCTTCATCCTGATTATGAGGATTCAACATCCTTGGAATATTTGGTTTTTAACTATTCTCCTAATTTTTAACATCACATTTCTTTTTCGTTTCAACAAGAAGTTTCAAGTAATGGGTCACTCTTAATGTTATAAGCATTGTGATAGAACCGATCTGTTACCTTACGGAGGCTAAGCATTAACTCTGCTGGCTTATAAGGCTAAAAAAAACAGGTTTCGATACTCGCAGTGGGCATAACAAATATAGCCCATTGTGTAGCTTTGTGCTTAATAACAAACTGTTGTTCATAGTATTGATTGCTAGGTTTCATCTGTAACGAATTTTTATACAAAATAAATGTTCTTTAAATGATATTAACGCTCTCTTCTTATTCTTAGCTACACAATGGGCTATCTGTGCTCTGCCCACCACGTGTATCAAAACCCGGTTTCTAGCGTTATAAGTCCGAAGACATACCGCTGTGCCACTGGGGGCGCTCTCTTCTAAACCCATTTCGTTTCGTGTCAGTTAAAATATGTTTACATGATCACAGTAACCATTTACAATAAGCTAGAAGACATTTAATACGTTATTACATTAGACGATTCATGTTTAGTGGAAAACAATACTGTAATGGCATGTTATCATATCAGCTGTAATATCTAACATATCAATATGTTTTAATACTTTAACACAAGTCTTACACTTGGTCCTTTTGAAAGATATCAAACAAGGGCGGAGGGGCCTGGTGAATCGGACCCAGCCTTTCGGAGAGTCTATGACTTAATTAAAATTAAGTAACAATTCTATATAGAGCTTAAAATTCAGGATTAACAATTTTATTTTCAATTTGCATTAACAGTCCGAGGGCCGGCTCTTAGTTCAGTCTGTTGGATAGGCCTGGTGATTGCACCAACCGCTGTTATGGCCAGTCCTTCACTGGTCTCAAATGATATTTTCTTCTTTTGTTCCTAAACACACGTGCAAGGTATTAACTCCCACTGACATAGACACGTATGTCCCGTCCCCTTCTACAGCACTGCCATGGGCATATATATAGAAGACTATTAGAACATTTGTTTCAGTTTTTAAAGTATTTAATCATACGTCAGTTTGGTATTTTACACCACCATCAAGAACGGATACTCCCCTTCAAACGTCCCACTGTTTACCAGTTTCAGGTAAGTAATATTTAAACTTGTCTTTTTGTTTATGATTGTCTCCAAAAATACACTTGTCACTGTGAGAGTTATCTATATAACTGGCAATGAAAGAGTTAGTGCTATTTTGAAGAACCATATTATCGTGTACAATTTTCAAAATTGCGGTTTTTCTTCGAATAACTTTACTGAGTTTGTATTTCAATTTACTAAATGGTTTTGTAACCCTACCTTTGTTCTACTTTTACCATTTCAGTTGTATCTGTTTATTTCTGCTTTAATCCATTTTAACTCGAGTGTTTTTCCTCTCTGTATTTAAATTATTCCATCAAAAACGCCATATGCCTTTCTTCTGATCTTTCTCTATCTGCCACTTGCCTTTTTCAAAGTTCCCCTACAGGAGCTAGGTAATTTCAGCTTCAACGACATTTGGAGTTTTTGCAAGATTAAATAAGTCAAGAAATTGTAGATTTTGATTTATCAACAAAAAAGGATCAATTAAAACGAACCAACCAACTTTTTTTCTACTCTGCTAGGTTCAACTGGCATACACTTTTATTTCTGTTTCCAAATATCTTCACAAGCCATAGTATACATTACAGTCAATATTGACATAATTTTGCACCAACAGATACACAAATTTGCATCACTGACACAACAACCATGATTACAGATCCTTTACTGTTAAAGTTTGTAATGCTGTGTTTTAAAATGAGATTTTGAAAAGTTGTTGCTGTTAGGATTACTGGTGACATTATTTTCTTCATTACTTATATTGTTAAAATGAAAAAGTTGCCTCCATGGTACAAACAGATCAAACGAAAATGGTTCACAACAGGTTTATTTCAAATATCGAAAAAAATAAAAGCAGCCTGGATTTGTATCATTAACCTATTGACATAAATTGATATAACAATAAAACCTGCTAGAACCAAAAAATTCTTGAGCTAATATCTACTATGAACACATAGGCTTCCAACTTTTAAGTTGAATTTATAAATCAGCCATGACAGGTTCAAATTAAATGTAAAGTTTTAACTAATTCCAATGTAGCACAGTAATTAAAAATAAATTCAATTTATATCTGTTTAATAACTACAATAGTTACGCTTGCTCTATTATATAGATATATGGATATTTAATAAGTTTACAGATTCTTAAGGTAAATTTTTCCCATGTAGAATATAAGACATGCAAAATAATTTGAAGGTAAAATTTGTTTTCTCAACCCATTACTAGTAAAGTCTCTCGTTACAAGTACCTAAATTGCAGTTATTTTAACAATCATCATATCCATCCATATTTCACTTTGTATATTTGATCTTTTAGTAATTACTACATCAAAATTTGAACGTTTTAAACTTCAGGGAAAATGAAACTTTGTGCAGTTGTTACAATAACACAGAAAAAAAAAAACATTTCTTGGAAGGGAACAACTCATTTTCTCTAAAATGCTTTTGAGAAATTTGTTATAAATAGGCTTAACATACAAGTTCATTTTAAAACAAGTTCTTTCAAACCTTTTCCACTTAACTAGTTTGTTTTCAAAATGTGTTGGATCTTCTAAGCCTAAAATTGCCCAGCTATTCACTGGAAATATATTTAATAATGTTCATACAATAAAAGGACTTGTAATGTGCCTTCTAACATACAATTCACAATACAGGTACAGTTACACAATTTTGTTAATGTTTATTATTACACAGTTTACTGGTTTGTTTTCAAAATGTGTTGGATCTTCTAAGCCTAAAATTGCCCAGCTATTCACTGGAAATATATTTAATAATGTTCATACAATAAAAGGACTTGTAATGTGCCTTCTAACATACAATTAATAATACAGATACAGTTACATAATTTTGTTAATGTTTATTATTACACAGTTTACATAACTACTAAAACACGTGAAATTAGCTCAAACATCAAATACAAATAACATACAAAGAAAAACAGAAACTGAACATAAAACACACACAGAAAGATTAAATATTGTTATATTGACAAAGTATTATGTTTTACATTTTCACATTATATTTTTAGTAGGATATTATATTAAACAAATTCATTAATATATTGTTTTTCTTATAATGTTTCTAGTACAGTTTAGGTAATCGTGTTATGTACATTTAATATGTATTATAGCTTTCTTACTAACACTAAAATTTCACATAAACAAATAACTTACTTAATAATAATAATCTACTTAAACATTGCTAATACAATCAGATTACAGAACCATAATAATATACAGCTTCCTTCAAATTAGCTGGAAAATATTCAAGTTGAAAACCTGAGCCTATACAAACTTCAAACAAACAAAAAAAATACTATAGTATGTTTTAAATTGCAATCTCTTTTCTTGTGCGATCTCATTCACCCCTTTTGCTCTTTGAAATAATATATCTTGCTTTTTTCTTTTCTTTTCTTGCAGTTTTGAGGGTTTAAATCATAGGAATTTTATCTACAATCTGATGTTTCGTTAGTCTTTTTGAATACATCAGTTATGAAACTGTAAAACAGGACTAGAACAAAAGTTACAAGAAAATTAATGTTTAAAAATACAAATTTAACAACTTCCAAAATTAAAAAACAAAATTATATGGATTTTTTGTATCAGAGAATTTAAATTGAAACAAATTCATTCACTCATTCATGTGCACTTCTTGACTTAGTGAATTATATTACAAGTTTTATTCATACCAACACATTGATAATTCTTTTCATAATTAATCAGCTTTGGCTTTTATAAGATCTAAGTAATTGATAATTTCTGCATGATGAATATAAAGAAGAACATATCAAAAATGAAAAATAATATTTTCCTATAAATTATTAAAAGCACTGAGAAAATTTCATCATTCTACAAGTTGTACTTCTAAAAAAAAAAATCATTATTCCTAAATCCATTAATAATGAAACATTTTTCTTTAGCTCACTCTATACATTCAACTAATACAACAATAATAATAATAATAACATTATCACCTTAACATGCTGTTAGCAAACATTTTACAAAAAAAAATAGAAAATGAAAACCATTAAATATTACAAAACAACAAATAGACAAGAAAACATACCTTAACAACATTAATACTACCATCCTTGGGCAGAAAACATGTAATCTAGGAAGAAACTATACAAATGTGTAGGTTAGAACATTAGTTTCAATACAGATGTTAGATGTGGCAGCATGCAAACAGAGCTTCCATATCAAGCTGCCTGGTCCATGATGCTCTTTCTAACAAATGGACTGGTGTTTCCTGAACTCTTTCAATTCAAGGAGCCCAACTTTAAAAGTCTTAATTGAAATGGTTTGTCCAAACAGATCTTCTGCAAAGAGCAAAAGAAACAAATCTTCAATGACTGCTTATAAATTTATAGATATTTATATAAAAATGCAGTTTCTAACAGCAATTTTGAAGACTCAGTCTTCTTTTAGAATAAAAAAAATGGAATTCTAGATGTGGACCGAGGACTTCAGAAACAGCTACAGTTTTAGGCTAAACTCAAACAGCATCCAATTACACAAATAAGAATACTATCTGGAAATGGTACTAAAAGTACTTATAAAACTACTGAGTGACTGTTGATCTGAAGGACTTGAGCAGAAAAAATTCAGATAAAATATAATAAAGGATAAAGTAACAAGTACAAAACATATTCTGTCTTATTTTGGGCAGATGCCCTTCTGATTGACAGAGAGGATCTGCCAGAAATGTCACATAAAATAAAACAGAATAAAGTTATAAAACACAACTTCAAGTAAAATTATTTTAAAAAATATGTCATATTTTAAGGCACAAAGTTCAAGTTCTGCAAATTTATAATCAGAAAAATTATAGGAGAACAAATGAACGTACAATTACTGACCAAGTAATATTATGTATACCTATCTAGATATACAAAAATGTGGCAGGTCTTCCAGCATCTTTGGACAAACATAGATTCTCAAGTAAACAGGTACTAGTATGGATCCATGAATAATCCATAGTGATGGTAAGATGTACGCTGAAGAAAACAACTACTTGTTGGATCGATGGCACGTGTTTTGAGAATAGTTAGGATTGATGTAGACCTCCCCTAATAATTAGGACACCACAAAATACATAAAAATATTTAAAAGATTGTTCCATATCTTTGAAAGTTGAAATAATTCATCCTTGCGATATAATAGAGGTAGGGTTATCACACGTGCGAACTTTAACTCACTGACCTGTAAGCAAAATAATAATGGCTTACACAGCCACATGCAGATGAGTGTGCAATCACACAAGCACATTATTGAGCTTGTGCACTGAAGTGAGGCAGATCCAAACAGAGAAAATAACAGACTCAACCAACCATATGACTGATTACATTACAGAATATAATAGCCTCAAGTAGTAGAAGTCGAGCTTGAAATATTAAAGAAACAAAGTATAAAACAAAATATTTCAACAGATGGGAACAGGAAAAAACTTACAACTTATGTTTTCTTGCCAACAAATGATGCAAAACATCCCCAAAGTAAAATAAAATAAACAGCCTCATATGACATCAGGGATGTCACTGTGAAACTGTTTATATGTTGCCAAAATATGACAACGATCTTCATGAATCGAGACGTAGCTCCTGAAAGTACAGTTTAAATAAATCACCTTAGTGTCCATAATTTTGTCTTCCAACAACTAAACATTTATGTTCACACCACTTAAAACATGTATAACAAATATGAGGCTAATATAATCTTCATGAATCGAGGCGTAGCTCCTGAAAGTACAGTTTAAATAAATCACCTTAGTGTCCGTAATTTTGTCTTCCGACAACTAAACATTTATGTTCACACCACTTAAAACATGTATAACAAATATGAGGCTAATGCCTTCAGAACTGTCAAAGCCTTTGCATGTACAGTTTCATGTTATAATCGTTTTTCTGTAGGCTCATGATTTTCCAAAATATAGATTATATTTTATAAGATTCTTTTGGAAATGTTGAAATTTTACAAACCTTCAGTTTTAGCAGTGACTGGTCATATCAGCTGAAAAAATATACAAACTATCAATAAAGAATACATCAAGACTGAAACTGGATCTGATGTTGGAATAAAGTATCACAAATCTAATGACGTAGTGGGTTTGAAAATACTGATGTTGAGGCACAACTTTATCACTAAATGTACTTTAGCTGTGAACTTTCCCTCAGTTCCTCCTCACTGGATTTCAATAACAACATTATACCTTAATGCACACCTTTACGTTTACTTGAGTCTTGCCAGCATCGAGCATCACCTGAATATACATAGTTCCTGAAACAATTTCTGAACATAAACATTTGTAAACTAAGTACAAACTGGGAGCTTTCGTTATAGAAACTATGAACTGCCATAAAATCAAGTTTTTAGAACAAGCATGGAACAGAGAGTGAACAGTAATGTTGACAAAAACAAAAATATGTTGTTGTTTTTTTACCTTCTCTATGTTATCTCCATAAAAAAATGTAGGCTGATTTTCAAAACTTAAACTTCTTATACATTTTATGGGTAATATGGGCTGGGCTCACTGGAAGGCCTGAATACAAATAAAAACAAGTTCTATTATCATGTAAACTTACCTAATAGAAAACAAACATATAGAGGTTTTACACAGACAGAGAAATTAAACTGTTATAGTGGGCCATATTCCTCTTCAGTATGTCTGCGCATGGTCCAAGGACACGTTCAAACCGGGCTCGATCGAGTTTCACACATTTAAGAGGACCTTTAGCTTTTACAGTTGCAGCTCTTGGACGGTCTAAGAGTAGAGCGATTTCTCCTATGATGGATTATAAAATATAATCTTCAAAAAAGCTGGATTTCAACAGTGACATCAATTAATAGTTTTTATCTAAGTATGCCAGGAATAGTGTGTCAGTGGTAGAAAAGCTAATTATACAATAACTAAAACATTAAAATAAAACATGATATTTGCATTGATCTAGACATTGAAAACTACATAACATCCAAAACAGCTTAGCACAAAAATAGGCATTAGGAGCAAAGTCCAAGTATTCATTTCTATCAGAGGTTCATGCCATGATCACTACATTTCTATCAGAGGTTCATGCCATGATCACTATAGTTATCAGTAACCTTATGGTGTATGGTAGGGTTGCCATTAGATGATAAGAATAATGTTTTTTATTGTTTTTATAAATATATTAATAAATAAAAACTGTGTTTCTGATAATTAGGTTTTAGACCCATCTTTGCATTTATCTTGTTCTAAATTCAGTGTTTTTTGTAAAACTCTACAGCTGTAGTAGAATGACCAAAGAGTATGTTTCTCAAGTTTTGTTAATGTTAAAAGATCACACTGTTTTAATGGCTCTTTGATCTTACTCAATAAGAAAGAAAAAAAAACTTATTGCTGGAAACATTTCCTGCACTTATGTTATATCAATGATAATTTTAACATGGATGACCTACCATGTATGGCTGACTTTAAAACATTGATTGGTTATCTATAATCCAACGTGGTTATCTATAATTCAAAATGATTAAGAAACACTAGAAACACCTGAAAATACTCACTCGTGTATCATAAGAAACTTGTAGCCTACAGAAACAGATATACTTTTTTTTTTCAACTGTTTCGTCGAAATGAAAATCGATAATTATAGTGACAGAAAGTTTGATACAATTTCTATGTGTTAGTTCACATACTTTGTACATGTAAATGAAACATCTAGGTTTAACTTTCCTAGATTTAATCACGTGTTGGAAATTTCTGGTAAATGGCAAAAAAAACCAATATTTGGCTAAAGTCATTAGCCAAAAATTACCTGATTAATAAGTTTAAATCACCGAGTTTTAAGCCTAATGTAGCTCATTTAAGAAATTAATTTTAACCATAGAAACTTTAATGGGTTCTCCTCCAAAAATAAAAAAGCCAGGATATTAACCATTTTTCATTTAAAGAATAAATTATGGTGATGCAACAGAAAGTAAGTATAGTTGTTACACACATTGCAAAACACACGAGTTACATCATTAAATGAGTAAATTACAAAGAATGCATCATCATTTGTAAATTAATTAAAGCTAAGAGAAGTATTTTCTAGCTTGAACAGCTTTGTGAAGGTTCATCAAAAGCATCTGATTCAAGATATTTCTTCAGTTCCATGTTTTCAACTAATAATTACAGAAACAGGCAATTTTGTTGAGGTGTTACTCATTTCTTTTGTAATTCATCAATCTATCGGGTGTTCAGTACACTTTTGACAGATGATACGATGGCAGTAATCTTTGTTGATGGTTTGTGAAAAGAAAGGTTAAAATCTTATTTGTGTCAATGATTTAAAAAATTAAACCCTTTTCCAAGTGTGTTTATTATAGGTAGGGCTAAGACAAAATAAGGTTTGGAACAGAATTCAACAATTCAATAATCAAAGCATCAAAAAAATTATTATTTACTACATACACTCCAATCTCATTACAGCGACACGGATAACCAACACTTACAAGCATCTAAACCCTAAATTTTTTTACTGAATTGTCATTCCCTCTCTTAAATAAATATTTTATATAAAACTAACATCCACCGTTTTTCTGATATGCAGTTAATACTTTTATCCACCATTAGATTTCCAAATACTTAAGAACTATTGAAATTCTGCTAAACCTAAAATAGTCTGATAGTATGCATAAAATTACACACAAAATATTTACTTAACACAAATATAAAATTTTACTTTTTGAATATATTGCATTTTCCAAAAAAATCATATTAAATCTTTTTTACTTTACACATTCTGTTTGTTATGGAAAAATTAAAAAGCTACAACTAATACACTTCATCCTAAAAATCAGAGAAATCACACGTTCATAAATAACACAACTGTTTATCATTTTTGCTCAAGAAGCACTTTTCTGATTTTACTAAATTATATTGAAAATTAAGTTTCTCTGTAATACTGGAATACCCCATGTAATATCAAAAACTTGAAATTATCTAAGCTCATATCTTTTAATTATTTTATTTTAAAGGTTATATTAAGTCCCAGTACTTTTTTTTTTGTAAATAAAAGATATTATACCAAAACATTTTCTGCACAACAAATCATACTTTTATCTTTTCTATCTTCAAATCCTAAGAGATCCAATATTATTAAAACATAATAACTGTAACTTTCTCAAATGCCTAATTCGCCTTAAATAATTGAAGATAAATATAGATGCGACACATTACACTTTAATGAGAAACAAATCAAACAAGACAACATTTTCTCAGGTACAGAAACTACAAAATGTACACTTGAAGGTTAATACTACAGTTGTAGCTCCAAATTAGCATTGTAAGTGGTAATTCAATATATGTATGTATGCATATATATACATTATAAATTAAAACAGTTTTTAAAATTAAAAATACCATACTGAATCAGTGTTTTTATACTGTATACATTATATTTAAAAACATTCGTATCACATTTCTGGTATGTGGAACAAAATAATCCTACCAAAATAATCAGAAGACCCTAAGTTTCCAACTTCAACCTGTGGTTCGTTTTCAGACCGTCTCTGCAGAACAACAGCTGTTCCCTGAAACACACATTTTGGACCAAAGTACACACTTAAACTGTGAGAGATACAAAAAAAAATACTGTTTGAATATTACCTAGTGTAAAAAAAAAGGTTACAACACTAACAATTTAATCTTAAAATTCAGATTCCTTAAAAACATTATTACACCACCTACTTCAAATGTAAAGAAGTGTAAAGTAATTTTATTATTTCTTTTACAACATTCATTTTAATAAAATCTAACCAATTCTAATGACTAGTCCAAAAACAGATCATTGAAAATACCCTGACAGTCAATGAAAATGCATAATGTTTTGTTTTAAATAATTTTCCTCGTGGTTCAAAATATCAACTTTCATTCCCCGTGTGAACTCCGGACGCCCATCCAATGTAAATCCTGATCACCATATGCCAAATCAGCCCATTTCTGTGGTCTGCTATTGGGCGTTATCATGCGGTTTGCATGTAGAGGTGGAAAATGGGGGCTATATATTGTGCAAACTGAATATGGTTTGACATAGTGACTACAAAATACCATGCCACATTTATCACGTAATGAACGTCGCCATGCTATCGGTATGCTAGAAGGAGTTGTGAGCCAGCAAGAAGTTGCACAGAGAATGGGATGCAACCATTATGAGGCTTGTCCAGAGCCACAGTTTGACAGGCTCAGTTGATGATTGACAGAATCCAGGACAGCAATGCCTCACTATGCAACGTCAAGATAGAACCATCCATCTGATCCACCTAACTGCTGGTCAGAATGCATGTGATTCACTAGCACTACTTGACCACCGTATAAGTAGTCCGACTGTACGTCATTGCCTATATCACAAGGGGATTGACGCACATAGATCTGTCAGGGGCCCAGATATCACTCTGGCATGTCAACAAACCGGACTGCAGTGATGTAGGCAGCATGAGAGATTGACCCAGAGAGACTGGAACACCATTCTCTTCACAAACGAGTCACGTTTTCGTACTGACGGATGTCAACGTGTCTGGAGAAGATGGGGGTGACTGTTATGACATCTGCTGCGACAGACAGACCAATCGCTGGGGTGGCCCCTAGTGTCATGGTATTGGGAGGCATTTCAGGCAATTGTATACTTTTTGCAAGTTATTAGTCTATGTTCTTTGGTGCATTATTTAATTAAATAAAAAATTATTCAGTGCATTACTGTCTATAGTATTAAAAATTAGGGTTAACTCTCTTCAAAACCTGACTGCAAGAAAAAAGAAGATTGGTTAAGTATATTATTTCTTGTTTATTCTTTGTGTATAATTATAAAAGTAACTAAAATCTAAAAATACGGATCTTTTCAAGTTATTTAAGACTAGTTTAGGTAAAATAAGCAACAATAATATAATTAAAATGGTTCACAAGACACGCACGTGAGTAGCTCTTGGGTAATGTAATTCAATAGCGTAACATGAGCTGCACATTCCCTGAATGATTTACAACTTACAATGGCGCGGATAGTAGTTAGACACGGTATAGATGTATAATGTTACTAACTTAGAGCTACTTAGGATAAATGAATGTAGTTTCACATTAGAATTTGAAGTCATTCTACAAAGAAAAAAAAGGGTAATTTAGATTTATTTAGATTTTGTTTTTGGTGGTTACGAGGTCGGGCGAATTGACTGATCCCGTTTTGAGATAGTGATGAAAACTATAAAGTTTTATTGAAAAAAAAACGTTTGAAATGCATTTAAGAGGTTTTAGGGATTACTAAAAAGAAATTTGAGATTTTTTGAGATGAGGAAAAGTATTTTTAGTTTTAACATGAAAATTACTTTGTACACGGACTATTCAAAACAAATACTCAATATATTCATGGACAAATCTTTAATTTATTTTATTAAAAATACTTCACTAAAAATATGATTTTTTGTATGTGAACTGAAGAAATGCCAAATTTTGTGAAAATATACACACACACTATATTGAAAGTTAGAAGTATTGAATCTATAAAGACTAATTGAGTACAAAGAAGTCACATGGTCGGTCAAATTGACCAAGCCCGTGTTATTGTGACTCACTTCTTCAATAATGAAAAAGTCATCTCCTGGTTGACCCTGCTCCACAATCACCTCTCCATCGTTAAACTGTACAAGTTCTAGAGCATCGGCCACCGTAAGACGTTCCCACTTGTCTAGACTCTCTGAAAACCAGCAACAAACTTTAGACGCTCATCCACCACAACTTTCGTTTCAACAGACCTTAACCTTCTCATAAAAAAACAACTTGTACTAAAACTAAGTCTGTAAAAAATCAAGTTCTTGGGAACTGTTTTACTATCACACATAAGTAACTTTAATATAACTAATCTTTATAAAATCATAAAACCAAACCCTACAACCCAAACACTTTCAAGAGGTGGATCTTTCAAAAGTGCTCGGGTTATAATGTTTCATATTTTGGACTTTGAATGATTTTGAACCTACGTGTTTTCCTAACTTCACAAATATTTAGAAAGTAATATTTATATGTTGCATTAGAAAATATATTACAATGAACATCTAATTGATGCACGGAAATACAACTTTAAATTATCAATTACAACTCACCCAAAATAGATACTTTACTGAGAAATTCTTCATACATTTTTCTCTTTCGAATTGTACTACCCTAAAAAAAACAGAAAAACGATAATAAGCTGTCACATTTTGAAAAGAACTGAGGTTAATACGTCATTTAGTTGACATAACATACTATAACTTTGTATTTTAACATTTGTTCTTGACACGTTTAACCATAGAACTGAGGTTAATACGTCATTTAGTTGACATAACATACTATAACTTTATATTTTAACATTTGTTCTTGACATGTGTAACCATAGAACTGAGGTTAATATGTCATTTAGTTGACATAACATACTATCACTTTGTATTTTAACATTTGTTTTTGACACATTTAACCATAGAACTGAGGTTAATACGTCATTTAGTTGACATAACATACTATAACTTTTATTTTAACATTTGTTCTTGACACGTGTAACCATAGAACGAGGTTAATAAGTCATTTAATTGACATAACATACTATAACTTTGTATTTTAACATTTGTTCTTGACACGTGTAACCATAGAACTGAGGTTAATAAGTCATTTAGTTGACATAACATACTATAACTTTGTATTTTAACATTTGTTCTTGACACGTGTAACCATAGAACTGAGGTTAATAAGTCATTTAGTTGACATAACATACTATAACTTTGTATTTTATAATATCAAATAATTTCATAAAAGATTTAAATACAACCTACCAACACTATAAGAGAACATCAAAATGTATGGTACAGCCAAAACCTTTTAAATGTTTTAAAAATCTCTGATCGACCACAAAGTAACTGAAATGTTGAACAATCGGTGTGCCAGGGAAATACAAGAACTCAAGGAAGATCTTACCATTAATATTCTTCTGTACGTGTCACGATCAATTGCCCAAAGTTTCACATTTGTTTTTGCCTAAAAAACACAGATGTTCCACTTAATTGAGGAAAATAATATCTAAGACATCAATAGCTTTTAAAAACAATACCAGATTATGAAAGAATATGATACTTTATTATACAAAATAAAACTATGAAAGGTTTTAAACTTGCTACCCAAGACCAAAGGATTTGGACAGACTGAATTAGGTTCTCTGATCAATATTTCTGCTTCAGGCAGAATGTCACGAAAGGCAGTTTAACCCTTATACAGCTGCTGTCTTTGCAACATGATAAATTACTGCTGCCTTTGATAAGTTATAATTGAAGTAGACTAACCTTTGCTGATAGCATCTTGGGATGCAATAAATAGACTAAATTCCAGTAATGTTTTTCCTTGGGAGTTATAAGTTTATGATTTTGAGGTGTGATAAATAAGATAAACTAACTTTTACAGTTATTGATCTTGGAAATTAAAACATCAGTAGACTAACCTTTACAGTTGCAGCTCGTGGGGTGCCATATATAAGTGCTAGTTCTCCAAAGCTTCCAGCTTCACCTATAGTGGTCACTAGCTGTCCATTAACAAACACCTAAAGCACATAAAACATTCCCATTAATCTCATTACAACTGTAGAAAAATGGCTGTGTGTCATAATGTTGTCTTGGGAACTGTTACATTACCATATTATTATAAAGTAAAGCGCTATATAACAACAACATCATTGTGGGAACTGTTACAAAACTGTATGATTACAAAGCAAAGCATTATACAACTGCTTTGGGAAATGTTACATAACCATATTATTATAAAAAAAATACATCATCTTTTAACTGAAACATTTCAACCTATAAAAAGTTTATAAAATATATATTTTATAAATATCATGTAAAACTGTTTTGCACCTTCACAAGTTTAACATAAGGATTACTAGACTTCTAAATAACTAAATCTTCAATAATGGTATTTATTGACAGATGAAACAATTTCTACAAAATTTTATTATTTCTAGTAAATGTGAAAAAAGTTAAAATAATAGGTTAGGACTATGTTGATTAACTGGCAACAAACCAATAACTGGCCTTATCAGTCACGATGTTAATTTAATTAGCCAAGCCAATTAACTCAACATTCAATGGACCAACCCAAACTAAAGTAATGTTGACTATAATTATGAATTTACTAACGAAATGTGGCAAGCATTTAGTAAACAGTAAAAGTCTGTTGTACGATAGAATCAGATGAGTTAACAATATTTTTGTACCAAAGATATGTCCTTGAAATGAAAGAAAGCCAGTCTGACTCTGACAAGTTAGTGTACATGAACTGTTGCAAAATTAGCAGTGTATGGTGACATGAAATATTGATAACTCTGACACCAAAGTCATGATACCATGTTGAATGACACTCTGAACAAGGTTGGGGCATGCACATTTCAACCTCCCACCTGTGAATGTAGGGTTAAAATATGATAATCAGCAGAGAATAATATGGAAACAAGTAGAAAAAAATTAAAAAAGCTATTTTTATTGGCAAAATTACTCAAAAAGTAACACTGTTGTGAAGTTATACTTTATTTTATAATATCAACCTGCTACTGTTGTGAAGTTATACTTTATTTTATAATATCAACCTGCTACTGTTGTGAAGTTATACTTTATTTTATAACAGGTTGATATTATAAAATAAAGTATAACTTCACATCAGTAGCAGGTTGATATTATAAAATAAAGTATAACTTCACAACAGTAGCAGGTTAATATTATAAAATAAAGTATAACTTCACAACAGTAGCAGGTTGATATTATAAAATAAAGTATAACTTCAAAACAGTAGCAGGTTGATATTATAAAATAAAGTATAACTTCACAACAGTAGCAGGTTTATACTATTATTATGAATCATGTAAATAAAAAATAAGTTACTTTTAAATTATTAACTGGCCTAACAAAGCAAGGTAAAGAATTTCCTTGTTATAGTAGCTAGAATTCTCCAACATAACAATTAATGGGAGGGATAATTTGGGAGTTAACCACTGAGGCAATTCAAATAATTTTCTGTGTTTCAGAATTATTTCTAAATATTCAAGAACTTGGAAAACTCAAGTAAGTATAAAAGGAAAAACACTGCACTGTCTATAACTTTAATTCTTCAAACAACGTGCCATGCTAATCCATACAAGAGTGTCTAAAAACAAACACATTGCATTATATTCCACAATTTTCTTCTGGAAGGTGGAGGCACAAGTAATTTAGTCATCAAGCTACTAATGGCTTAAACTAAATTCACTATCAACATATTAAATGATAATACAAAGTCAAATAAAAAGTTAAATATTTAGTGTTAGCAGCATATTGGATTTTTTTTACAAATAAGTTTATGTGAATGTGTATGTAGAGGGTGAGGCATTATGTGCTGTTGACAAGGGGAAGGGAAGCACTGTTCTAGTCCAAAGATTGTTACGAAAAAAAAAAATACACACACACAACTTGGGTTGTTATCATTATAATTTGCACCCACAATTATTTTGAACTTACAACATAAACTTAAATAGAGTTGAATACTTGTATGCTGTGATAATATTACCATTTCTTTTAACATTTATTACTCATAATTCAGTAGTAAAATTACAAAAGCAAACCCCAAAACCCCAACCTAATATTAATCTCCTACAATAACATACACAGCGTGGTCACAAGTAAATAGACACCACCTTTTTTAGAAAAAAAATTAAATTTTTCAGTCATATTCACATGAATTGATATATTTATAATTTAATTATAATCTAGTAGATCTTCCTTTCGCTTTGTGGAGTTTGTTGATCCTTTGGGGCATTGTGAGAATCATCTCGTCAATTTTAAATTGATGGATTTTCGCCCACTCTTGCTTCAAAACTTGGAGTAGATCGCTCTTCGAAGTTGGTTTTTTTGGTTGTTTCTTGACTTGCCAGTCGAGTATGGCCCAGAGGTTTTCGAAGGGGTTCATGTCAGGAGATTGGCTCGGCCA